GTGGCCAGGAAGGCAATAAGAGTTCCGTTTATATTTATATATGTTCTAATCTCTCTCTCTCTCTCTCTGTGTCTCTTTGTACATCTCTGCAGCGCGCAGAATGTTGCTTCAGCTTTACTAAAACCATATTAGAACACACAAAAGTACAGTATAATCAAGAATGCATGGTGATATTATACATATTAATTAACGGTGTGTATTAAGCGTAGATATTTTGAGTATATGTCTATTTGTAGATATATTATTGTAGTGTGCGGTATTTCGTTGTTTTGGTTTTCGGATTTTATTTGTACGATATGCTTGGGTAATATGATTGAAAATTAATTGAATTATGGAATTCTATTTTTGGAAATTGATTTATGGTTTGTTTGAAAAGTTGATTATGGGCTGAAATCAGCATATTGGTTATTTATTGAATATTGATCTTGGATTTTGATGTTTTAGGAACATCTTTGTGTGTATAATTTATATAATTTAGGATGGGTTTGATAAGGGCTTTGGCAGAAATTTGAGAAGACTTAAAGAATTGTAGCGTCGGATGAGTCGAAGAGTCGAGGAATTGAGGAATCGTAGAATCGAGGAATTCAGTCGAGGAATTGTATAGAGAACCGAAGGATTTTGGGTTTAGGGTATGTTTTGGGAACGGTGTTGTTATGGAATGTATATTTGTCGACTTAGATTTACAGTTTTTTGGATTTAGAAGTTGGTCAGATAATCTTTTTGGTTTTTGTGATGTTTTAAGTTGGTTTCTTTTGTTTTTCCCGAATGCGTAGCGAAGGGTTTCCGTTTATAAGTGGGGGTCTGGGGGTGGAGGCCGTGTTCGCGAGGAGTTGCTCCAGAGTTCGCAACTGTCCGCACGTCGTGGAAGAGTGTTTTTGATAGATCGGCAAGTGCTGTTTTCATTGGCCTGGTGCGGGAATTGTAGCTTCGCAAGATCGACGTGTGGTTTTGTTGCGCAGGCGCAGTGATTTGGAAGGCTGCGTGTTCTCGTTGCTGTGCAGTAGGATTTGCGATCCAGGGGCGGTCGCTTTGAGGTGTCCTGCTTGGCAGGCGCGTGATAGTGTTTGCGCTGGCGCCGTTTTCGTTGGCCCTGTCGCACAATCGGCTCGTTTTGGCGAGCCTGAAGCATGTCAAAACTGGTCGAAATCATTCTGGCGCCACAGTTCCGTGCTAGTTTTGGATGCGTGTCGTAAACGTGTTGTGGCAGGCCCAGCAGTTTGGATGATTTTGGGTTTGTGGCAAGCTTACTTTGCGTGACAGGCGCAGCACTTTCGAGCGTTTTGGTTGAGTTTCGTGGCAGGCGCGGCACTTTGGAGCTTTTTGTGCAGAAATCGTGGCAGGCGCAGTACTTTGGCGCCTGGGTGTAGATTTCGTGGCAGGCACGTGACTTTGACTCAGCGAGATCGCTCTCGCTGTGGCGCGGTGCACATTTTGAGAACGCGAAGCGAACCCTCTGCGCGCTTTTAGCGCGCCTGGGTTTACATTTCGCGGCAAGCGCGTCACTTCGACTCAGCAAGATCGCTCTCGCTGTGGCGCGGTGCATTGAACCCTCTGCGGACTTTGGGTGGGTCGAATTGCTCTCGCTGTGGCGCGGTGCACATTTTGCGAACGCGAAGCGAAACCTCTGCGCACTTTGGGTGGGTTAAATCGCTCTCGGTCTAGCGCGGTGCGCATTTTGAGCATGCGAAGCGAACCGTCTGCTTTCGGTGGGTCAAATTGCTTTCGCTGTGGCGCGGTGCGCATTTTGAGCATGCGAAGTGAACCCTTCGCGCACCTTGGGTGGGTCAAATCGCTCTCGCTGTGGCGCGGTGCACATTTTGAGCGCGCAAAGTGAACCAATCAGAAGTGTGGTTCAGCAGTGTTGCTCAATCTGTCGATCAGAAGTGTCAATCAGAAGTGCGGATCAAAAGTGTTGCTCAGAAGTGTCGATCAGAAGTGTTGCTCAGAAGTGTCGATCAGAAAAGTGTCGCTCCGAAATGTTGCTCAGAAGTGTCGATCAGAAAAAGTGTGTTTCAGAAGTGTTGATCAGGTGTCGCTCAAACTGTCGATCAGAAGTGTCAAGTGTTGCTCAGAAAAGTCGATAAGAAAAAGTGTCGCTCAGAAGTGTTGCTGAGAAGTGTCGATCACAAAAAGTGTGGTTCAGAAGTGTTGACCAGGTGTCGCTCAAAAGTATCGCTCAGAAGTGTCAATCAGAAGTGTTGCTCTGAAAAGTCGATCAAAAAAGTGTCGCTCAGACGTGTTGCTCAGAAGTGTCGATCAGAAAAAGTGTGGTTCAGAAGTGTTGACCAGGTGTCGCTCAAAAGTATCGCTCAGAAGTGTCAATCAGAAGTGTTGCTCAGAAAAGTCGATCAAAAAAGTGTCGCTCAGACGTGTTGCTCAGAAGTGTCGATCAGAAAAAGTGTGGTTCAGAAGTGTTGACCAGGTGTCGCTCAGAAGTGTCAATGAGATGTGTGGGTCTGCGTCGGCGCGCTTCTGAAGGCTTTCTTTTCGGTTCCCGCGAGCTTCGCCGCTCAAATTCACTACGGCGCTTGCTCAACGACGAGGCCAACACTTACTGCAAGTTCCACGCGGATCACGAGAAGTTCCTTGACCTGCACAACGGCTCGCCGTCCGAGGTTGTGGCCAAGCGCCCCTTGCACTTCATCCAGGAGCTGGGTCTGGGGTGCGCCGTGTGGCTGTCTCTGTACTGGACGACGACAATGTGCGAGACACACGAGCGCTACACTGACCATGGTCGCCTTGAGCGGGAGCACGACGAGGAGGGTCTCGAGGACGTGGAGGGCGCAGACGGCCAGCGGCACAGCGTCAAGCGCAGCTTCCGCGCAAACCTGCTAAGCCCGCTGCTTGGCTACGGTGCCGACTTCGCCCTCCTGCAGTTTGTCTACGACCTGCAGATATGGAGCGAACTTGGCGCGAAGAGGAACCTTGCCAAACGCCAAGGCAACAAGCTGCGGCTGATGATGGCCCAGCATCCCATGTCGCCGCTGTACTGGCGCGCTGTGGTCCGTCAGATTGGCTCTATTGGACCTTTGCCCCTTGGGAGCTTAGCTTCCCTTACAGCGAGTTCCTGCTGGACGAGCTCCGCAAACAACTGCGCACTCGCTACGGCGCCGCTGCGCACGAAACGCTCCGCGTCACACACCGGTCCGCGGCTTTGGCAGGCGGGGCCGGCATGCCCGGCGACAAGGCCAAGTGGTCTCGCTTTCTGCTCCAAGGCGAAGACAAAGAAGGCAAGCCCGCTTGAAGCGTGTTCAGGGGTTTCAGGGTTTCAGGCGCAGGGGTCCGGAGCTTGCGAGGCAGAGTTTTAGGGGCTCAGCGGCTCAGGGTTCAAACTCAAAAGGGTTTGGGAGTTCTCGTGCGTTCGCCGCAGCTTTTTCTTCTCCTTGCCCCCGTCCACCAACCATGTCGAAGCCTGCTCGGAAGACCGGCTTCGACCGACCGCCAAGCCAAAATTGTTTTTCGGGGGCCTTGCGTTCTGTTGGTTCGCGCCGCAACCTCGCAACTCTGAAATGAACGCGTTGTTTTTAAAAACAATTAGCTTTTTTGGTGGGGCCTCAATAAAAACACACAAAACCCCTTTGTCGCCGCAGGAGACTGAGCCGACGCGCAAGCGGAAGCTCACAGACGAGGAGAAGGCGTCGCGTTGAGGCGCGCGAAGCCGTCAAAGCCGCAAAGTCGGCTTTGCAGGCGGCGGAGAAGGGGCGCTGGCGGGTGGCGAAGGCCAACGAGCTGCCAAACCCGGGACCTTGCGGCGCGCGGGACGCAAAGACGTCCTTCGTCGGGGATCGCATGGGAGGTGGAAGGCCTCGAAGTCACCGAGGTGCTGACTCGAGGGGGCGAGAGACTCGCTGGGAGTAAAAAAGGGAGCGGGTGAATTCGGGGGTTGCGGCGGTCCAAGTTTTGTTCTGTCGGGGCTGAAGGGTTGAAGGGGCAAACCAAAAAAAAAGGTTAAGGAGGGGTTGCAGGAGGGGCTGCAGGAGGGCCAGGGCCCGGAGTCGGAGTACTACTTCTTCTACTTCCAGGGCATGTCGTATGAGACGTTGTGTGCGCAATATTGTTTCGGCTGGGATCTGAACCAAGGGTTGTTGGCGCCAGAACACCCCAAAAAAAAAACAGTCATCACGCGAAAAGAAACAGTCACCGCTGAAGTACCCGCAACTAGCACAGTCCCTGCTCTCTTTGGTTGGCTCGTTCATCCAGAGCCGCGCTCGCAACTTCAAACGCAAGATCTGACTTCCTTCGTCGTCCCATGTCCATGTTACATCTTGAAAGTTCTCGAGAGGTGTCCCACAAATCATCACTAGATCAAGGCCCGGCTTTGGCGTGGACACCGATGGGTGGGCCAATCTAAGTGAACCGTTGTGAGCCGCAAGACTATGGCGACACTTTGGCTGTAGCTGTCGTCGCGCTGCGCGCGGTATCAGGTCCTCACAGTGGGTCAGTTTTCCAATGTTCTTCAAACTCCAAGGTGGGGCGGGGCCAACCGGTCGTCTCCAGACTTTCCTCAGTTTTCCTCGCGTTGTTGTCTCCCTGAAACACTCGTCCGGCCTTATTCCTGGCGCGGCGGGGCGTGGCGGGGCGTGGTCTCCTTTGTTGTCTGTTCCCCTTACTGTTTAGAGCGTCCTCCTTGGCTTCCTAGGTTTCTTCCAAGGCCAGATGGAGGCTTGGGCACAAAAGTGGGCCGCTTGGTTCTGCCATCTTGCCTGGTTCAAGAGTTCTTTGACTCAGATTACCAGCGCGAGAGCAGAGAACATAGTAGCCCATCTCTTATTCCCAAGACCCTGCGCGCGTATTCTTTACCCCTTTCCCGTGGATTCCCTCTCCCCATTCTTGCCTGGCGCTCGTCTGGTTTGGGAGGCAAGTCATTCCCAACCTCTGAAATGCGTAGCGCGACGGTAGCCCGCAGCAGGGGTCGCTCGATTTTTACAGTAGAGCACAAGGGCAAATCACTTCTGCAGACGCCGAGGCGATTTGCAAGCGCGAAAAGAGTTGAACAGAGT